CATCAAGTGTGAATAAAAATGATAATTGGGATCTTTTGGAAAACTTGAAGATACAACCCAGTATGATTGGAGCTAACCTGAATATGAAATTGAGAAGAGAAATGAATCTTTATGATGAGATTCTAGGTCGAGTCACTCAAAATGGATTAAAATGAAGTTTTAAAATAAAAATTTCAATGCAATGTAAATAATATCAATAATAATTTTATATACAAAGGTATCAGAAATAATTTTTGAAGCAATAGGAAAAGTGGTGGATAGAAAGGAAAAAATGATTGAATTCAGAACACTTAGATATTTGAAATCGGCTGAATAATTCTGAAAGAAGATCTACCAAATGGGAAGTACTTGGAAGAAAGATACTATAAATTGAAATAACATACTTGGAATATTAAGGAGAAAAAGAGGGAAGCTTTATGAATACAATACAGATTGATGATAATAATACTCGGCAAATTACAAAGACATAATCCATAGATGTATTTAAAAGATCATTTACATACAAAAATAATTATTTAGTGAGGAGGAAGTTTCGAAAGGACCTTAAAGAAAAGTCAAAAGGAGGGAAAAGGATATTTATGATTAAAAAATGAAAGATGCACCTATTATGAGAATAGAGGAGAGTGTTAGAATGTGGTGAGAAGGTGTAGAGATTCAATATGGCAATCAGATATGACTTTTATCACCTAAAAATGATCTCTTTTATTGTAGTAATAGATTGGGAAAAATGGAGAGTGGACTTGCAGTTATTTAATCTTGAGGAACTGTGTAGCCTTAGTGGATACATAATGGAAGTGTCTGAGATTTGCACAATAAGGGACCTGAGACCATTAAAAGTGTAAGGTCATCGGATGAAATTTATTGATATGAATCTTAGCAGATCGGCTCAAGAAAATGGTTATATCTTCGATAGACTAAGATTTAGTAGGTTTTGTTTTATAAATTGGGATGTAAGTCCTAATTCAAAAAAATAATTAAGAGATTAAAAACGAAATAGCGCAATAAAAGCGTATTTTTGATATGTCTAAGACTTATAATTAAGTGATTAGAAGGAAATTATGAGAAAGAGACACTATTTAAATGATATAAGAACGCATTGGATTTTTATATTATTTGACAGAGAAGTTGAGAAGGGATACAATTTAATGGTGAATGAAAATAAGACTGTCTCTATGGCTAAAAAAACAATCCAAAAAATGGAATATATGAATCATAAAAAGTGGATTCTTTTATGATATTTAGGTGTAAAATTAATTTAGTGGCAATATCAAATATTAATTTAAAGAGAGAAAGAATCTAGTGATGATGAAAGCTTGATGGATATTGATTTGAGGACAGTTTAGCCATCTAGATTGTTGACAAAAATATTGAAATGATATAGACTTTCAATAATCAGAATCTGAGGAATTGCTAAACGGAATTAATGCAAAAGTTCCTTTATACAATGGGAGGTAAAGGAAAACATTTTCGGAAACCGATTGGATTATGGAAAAGTTTTCAAGGAGATTACTTCAAAGTTATAAGCTGGTTGGAAAATGAAACTTTGGAAGGATTATATCTAAAATATTGATGGAAGAAGAAATTAGAGTTGATCTCTAGATATAAACAAGAGAAAATTATTTTAATAGAGAAGAAAATTTGAATATATCAAAGTGAGTAAGAGGTAAAGGGATGATATCTGGTAATAATAGGAGGACTTTTATGGAGAAAAGATTTGGTAGATGTTAGCCAATAAAAACGTATAAAACTATTTGATGATGATTAATACAATGCAATTTTATAAAGTAGAATGTTAGAAAAGAGAAGCCTAATAGATTATCTATAAGGTAATTAAATGGTATATAATATTACAAGAAGAGTAAATTTATTCTAAATCAGGAAGATTCTAGGATATAGCTATCTTAAAATTTTTGCATATGGATAGAAGTTATGCTAAAAAAATGTACATCACAAAGAACACCTTTGGTGTGCTAAAGAACCTCCTTGGAATTTTTGAAAGAATTAATGAATATATAGATGGAGAGAATAAATTTAAGGCAAAGTCTAAAAAAGCTGTTTGGAATAAATAAACGATATTGGCAAGTAAATCCAGAAAGAAATATTGTATATTCTTAGCGGTATCAACTAAAAAATTAGAATTCAATATATATAATAATAAGTTAAAACAATTATTAGTTGTGTAACATGCTTTTGATCCATCTATATAATATAATTTTTATTCTCTTACCTTAGGTTGCAAATGTGGCTTGACTTTTAATTGTTCTTATTAAGTATGTAAGGTATAGGAAATCATAATATCTATTTCATGAAAATGTTTAAGATATTGTGTGTAAAGTTGTTCTGATATGCTCTATGGTTAAATAAATAGAATTGTGATGTAGGTGTCTCAAGAGAAATTGAATATACTTACTTTTAGTTTCGAGCTGGCTCACTTACATCTATTAATTAATTATTTTTTTTCAATTGAAATACATCTGGTAAGTTCTCAAAACGATACTTATCCTCAAAAAGATTTTATGAAAACATAACAATTATAATCTTAAATCTAATATAACAAATTTCTTTGTCAAATTATTTTTATTCCTGATTAATAATAATATGTTGACAAAAGATTTTGACTTGGCCATAATTGCATCCTCTAAAATTAAGAAAAAAATTTGAGCTCAAGCAAGTTTACATCAAATATAATTTAATTTTTTAGCTGATCATTTCATTACTATTTCCTTAGCATTTCTTGATTTTTTCTGCCCTCCTTAAAAAGTGAAATAGAATCTTTTCTTCTATAAAAATTATGCAGCAAAGCTGTTTAAGGTTGGATCTTTCATGATATTCTTGTCTATAATAAGTAGACACAATTTCAAGCATCCCGCTACTTGAAGTGCAACTTATTTTCTTTGGAATCTAATTTCATTATTAGTAACAAAAAGAGTTGAATAATATTAGAAAGGATATCACTGTATTATTTCCTTATTGTCCCTGGTCCTTATATTAATTTTGGTTTAGCAAAAAGGTTGTTTAAATATGTTTTAATATTTTTTAAAGTTAATTAAGAATATAATAATAAAAGCAATATTGGATATTGCTTATGAGTAATGACATTAAAGAATTAAACGTATTCAATTTTAAAATTGTATTTTATTATTTATGATATGTTTCATTGTGTTTGTATGGCTTCTAAACATTCATCTAATGTTAAGAAATACAATACTTTTTCTTTTTTTAGTCCATTTATGATTAGAATCAATTTCTAAAGCTTTATCATAAAATATTAAAGCTTATAAATATTATTTCTGATCATGTAAGCATTAACCTATTAATTATATCATAATATTACCTTTTATCCTTAATGAATTAAAATGATTTGGATTAATTATTAGAGATTATTCAATCACTTCCATAGCTTCCTTAAATTTTTTCAATTATCTTAAAGAGTTACCTTTAATTTAAAAAGTTATTCATACCTTTAATAAATAATGAATTACAACACTTTGGATCTACTTACAAAGCTTTATCAGCCCAAATATAGCTTCATTATATTAACCAAGCTTCCTTAAACTCTCAGCTAATACATTCAAATTTAATCATACCTTTAGTAAATAATGATCTACGATGCTTTGGATCTGCTTACAAAGCTTTATCAGCCCAAATGATAGCTTCATTATATTAACCAAGATTTCTTAAACTCTCAGCTAATACATTCAAATTTAATTATACCTTTAGTAAATAATGATAATTAATGTTTTGGATTAAAATTCAATGCTTAATCAAATATTTTAATAGCCTCATCATATTTGTCATCATTCCAATATAACTTATATCCTAAATCATTAATTTAATTACCTATTTTATACAATTCTTCTGATTTTTCTATATATGGTTTAGATATTTGATAGTAATCTAATGCAAATAAATTTAAATCATTCTGTAATTTCTTTATTTAATCTTAAAATTCCTTTATGAATTGTTATAACAAATTTTCAATAATTAATTAAAATTATTTGAAATGTATACTTTATGTTAAGAAAGAATTAATTTATTGAGAATTTAAATTGGGTAATTACTTAGATATCTGATATTTAGTTCTAATTCCTCCAATTAATAAAAAGAAATCATTTTAAATTAAATCCATTTATTTATTGATTGTATTTATTAAATCATCAGATTCTTTTTCAATTGTTGAAATATGTTCAAATAAAGATGGTAACTCTTCCTAATGTTAAAGATGAGTAATATGCATTCCAATTTTAATACATTCATGACAATATAATCTCTATTCTTTACAAGATTCATCAAAACATACTTATTTAACATTCTTAGTATGTTCTGGATTAGGACATTTCACAATTATATCTTCAC